TGAATGGAGCAACAAATGGGATTATTTGAGAATGAAACTGTATATTTAGTCCACAGGGTGAAACAGTTTTTAGTTCATTCATCCAAAAGCTCTTATGACTTATTCCAACAATTAATGAAGTTTGTCCACTATCAGGGCTTTCAATCCCTCTAACTCATAAAACGTAGCTTCCAATAGCTGGTTTTCCAATTGATTGGTGGTAACTGGTAATTCATATCTAGCGGGTACATTGCCTTTATTCCGCAGGTAATCTAGAATTACAGAAAATTCCTCTGGATTTCTATCCAGACTATACGTTGGTATGTTGTCAATCATCTGTGGTCTAACGATTGAATCCTTGTCTACCATAGCAGATAACAGAGATGGTTCGGCTGTGATAGTTGGTATGCTGGTGACAAATTTTGTTCCTCCAACCATCACATGCACTGGACTCTCCTGACATACTTGGATTTTTTGTAATTTTTTCACAATACTGGTGGGATTATATTCAATCGATTGGACTGGTTCCACGTAACCGCCTGATACCGGCTCTACTTGGGCGATTTTTTCTTTGACTGATTCTACCTGTTCCACTTGAACGCTTGATTGTGTTTCTGATTCTTCTGGTTCTACTACCGTTTCTACTTGAGCCATTGTTTCTGGTTCCGAATCTGTTATTTCCACTTGGGGTATCGTTTCTGGTTCCGAATCTGTTATTTCCACTTGAGCTATCATTTCTGGTTCTGAATCTTTTATTTCCACTTGAGGTATTGTTTCTGGTTCTGTATCTAATGTTGGTCTGTCATCTTCATCAAATAAGCTGTCATCAGAAGGGGCGTCCAAAGATAAAACGTCAGCTCCAGCAAATGTCTCAGTGTCCATTTTGCCCTCTTAACTGGTGAGGTTAGAGCTCTTGACGTGATGGTTCTTTCAGTAACTTCCAGGTTCTTGAACGGTTTTCTCTGCTTTCTGTTTCTTTCTGTGCTTAACTTCCAACTGCTTTTAACTCTGTTCTCTTGATCATTATCAGCCTGTCTACTGATTGTATCAATGAATTGTCGTTTGTTCTGTTGAAATTCCTTGTATTCATTTTCTTCTTTTTCTCCAAATTTCTTATTTGTCTCTTTTACACGTTTCATGGGTGCTCGATTACAACGTTTGTGGCCATCCTTGTATCTAAAAATGTTATTGCACAGAGTGCACTGGAAGGCAAATCCGGAGTGGAACACATCCAGATGACTCGATACGCCCTTGATGGAACTGTATTCCTTCTTGTTGTGGCACAACTTGCACACAAAGTAGGTATTCTGTAAAATATAGATATGATTTTTTTTTAATTATTTATTGTGTTATGAGTAATTTTTCATTTATTTTGACATTATTTTTAGGTCAGTGCTTGCTAGTAGACAGTTTAACGATTGGTCCAGGTCTCTACACCTAGGTAAGGCTTCAAGTTGTCAGAATAACTTCACATCTTCAGTGCCCACTTCATTTCCCCCAATAAACCTCGAAACCCACCACTTCTCAGGTTCTCTTAATTTTGTTGGCCAGGTGAAAAGTGGTTATAAGCCTACCTTATCGCTCATCTTTAAACTGTAAATGTTAGATTAAATAACTCTTAACTGTAAGTATAAAAAATATAACAGTAAACTTTAAGAAAAACTTTACACTTGTAATTTATGGCAGGTATTATTTGAAACAACATTCTAAGTATTTGCTTCACCAACTAATAGAGCTCATGTTTCTTTTCAGAATTGAAACTATGGTTATAACCTTCTCAGGGTTCGCCCTTAGTCAGGGTCCGTTCGTCTCTATATTAAATGACATGTAAGTAATAAATGTGAAAGTGATGACACTTAATCCGATTAACATGTGTTTATATGATAAATTATTTACGGTCGATCATTTATACAAATTTCCGATTAACTCTAATATTTATTGGTGAGAACTAATTTCTAATTTAGACACCAAACCTGTTTAAAATGTGTTTATTACGTGATTTAATCGATTTTGAACAATGACTATATTATAAAAACTCCGACACACTTTCTCATTTTACTTTTAACTCAAATAAATAATTGAAAATGAAATTTTAGCTTGTCCATTGATTTTGATAATGAGTTGATAATATCATTTTGACATATATAAGCTTGCATACATGTCTGACCACTAATATTACAACTGTTCTAACATGGAGATCAGTGTTTGTATTTCCTGTAATGGGGAGATCCGTTCTCTCCAGCATGCCATTTCATGTGATCCGTTAGATACTACATTTGATATTCAGCATCATGACGTGCGGACGATCTTCAATGCGATGTGAACCAAAAATACAGCCAACTTGAAAACAAAATCGAAACACCATGGGACAAGTATATGAAAGATAGCTAGCCAGGCAAGGTAATATATGCCGACTGCAGCTTTATTTTTGATTAAAAATATTTGGCAATACAGTAACAATCACCAGTATGAAATATTCAACCTTCAGTCATACACCTCTTTTGAACTTTTTGGGCGATACTGAATAATATAAAGTATGAGTTATTGCCCTTGATCTTGAAAACGTGTTCAATTTTTAGCTCGTGAAAACTCAAGGCAAATATTTAATCTTCAGCGCGGTACTGAATAATAAAATCCGGCAAGAATCATGCCTTTTAGTGTTTAAGAGCTTAAATTTGAAAGTGTTTTCAAGAACGAGGTCATTGACTCCTATGAAACTTCTTTTTTTTTTTTTGATATTTGATAGTGTTCATCCATGGGTGAGAATAAACAATTTCACCAAGTTTCGTCAAAATCTGTCAAGAATTGATCCTTCTAGAATGTTAACGAGCCTAAAAAAGTTTTTAAGAACAGGGGCAATAATCATACTAAATATTTTTTCGATATTTCTCATTTTCAATTGGGTTTAACAAACCGTGGGTGATAACAAACACTCATGCCAAGTTTCGTCAAAATCTGTCATAGAATTGTGCCTTCTAGAGTGTTTACGAGCTAAAAATTGAATGCGTTCTCAAGAACAGGGGCAATAACTCCTACTAAATATTTTTGGCTTCTTCTGATTTTCGATAGGGCTCATCCTTGGGTGATAACGAACACTCACACCAAGTTTAGTCAAATTTTGTCAAGAATTGTGCCTTCGAGAGTGTTTATGAGCTAAAATTGAACACGTTCTAAAGAACAAGGGCAATAACTCATACTAAATATTTTTTCGATTTTTCTGATTTTCAATAGGTACCGGTATTATCCTTGGGTTATAAGAGATGCTCATGCCAAGTTTCGTCAAAATCTGTCAGGAATTGTGCCTTCTAGAGTGTTTACGAGCTAAAAATTGAACGCGTTTTCAAGAACAAGGGCTATAACTCATACTAAATATTTTTAGATTCTTCTGATTTTCAATAGGGTTCATCCTTGGGTGATTACGAACGATCACACCCAGTTTGGTCAAAATCCGTCAAGAATTGTACCTTCCGAGCTAAAAATTGAACGCGTTTTCAAGAACAAGGGCAATAACTTATACTAAATATTTTTCGATTCTTCTGATTTTCGATAGGGTCCATCCTTGGGTGATTACGAACACCAAGTTTTGTCAAAATCCGTCAAGAATTGTGTCAATTGTGGACGGCAATATACGCCCCCAATTTCATGTGGGCGTATAAAAACGACATGACGACGACGCACTTACGACGACGCACTTCCTCAGTTGCGTTGCTCTTTTGTATACGCACTGCGATAAATCAAAGGATGATGCACCTGTCGGTGCATAGATAAGTGAAATATGAACTAAGGAATGACTTGCTTTGCCATGAGGTGGAACAGTATTATATTTAGTGATTTGTTTTAATATGCTGACATATTAAACTTTATCTTGTTTTGTTAATGATTTGAGATATATGATACTTAAACTGTTGTCTATTCATTCCCTTGCTTATACAATTATGGTGAATCACTATACAGATGATCATATATTATATCACATAGGGCGAACGAACCCAGGGCGAATATGGAATAGGGGTGAACAAGAACAGAGGTGAACATGAACAGGTTCGAACAGGTTTCAGGGCGAACCGACCTTGATTCCTCGTGGTTACTGCACCCTAGAATTTCAATGACGTTATAGCAGACTGATACTGAAATGTGATACGGATAGCTTAAGTAACCATCGACACGCCGCTTACATTTGATTCTGTCTGACAAAACTCACATTGAGAATAAGTATGGCGGATTGTGATTAAAATTGATCCGAGATCACGCCATCTTGGAATATTGATCCCTTTCACTCCAAAGTGACCAATATCTTCAGGAATGTGCCCAGTGATCCCGAAAACCTATGATAAGGTAATTAACTACGCATTAAAGCGGAAAAGAAAATTAATATATTTCTTTGATATTTCTTTTTCGGATGGTTGGCGCTTGGTTTATTTTTTCCACAGCTCATCTGTGAAAACACTTTGAAAAGAGTCAAATTATATATAAAAACTAGCGATGAAATGAATAATAGACTGATGATTGCTAAACCCTTAATGATTCTTGAATATTCTTGCCTTGTTCATCTAAAATACGAAAGGAACCTCACCTGAAGCCTCCGGTTATTGCAATTACATGTATACTGAAATCATAATTACCGCCTATTTACGTCATTCAATTTGGTATTTCCCATAGAGTTATAAATAGTTTTTGTTATATAACTCTAGCCTCTATCACACAGTCCTTCGACGCAAGATAACCTGGTACGGTTGCTTAAAATCTTTGCAATTGGACGAGTCTAAAGTGGCTATTGAATCTGATTGGTTGTCCTTTTGTGCGGGAAAACCAAAATTTAAAGTAAAGCTTCCGTGTGTATCAATGAAACAGTAATTATGGTTATGGTTTAGGAAATAAATTCCAATCTCGAGGAAGCGATAAATTTTAAATCAGATGATATCAAAAATAAACTGAAAGGTTTTGTGGAGGTTGTCATTTTGTTTCGGTTATAAACAAATCGCATGAAAATATGCTTGATTGTAGTTATCTCCCCTTGAAAGCGTCGTAACAGAAAAGTCAACTGGAAGTCCCAGACTATATTCTTGTCGTAGTCTGGTGCGATCTGGTTGTCAGCGACTATTATAACTCTGGCCTATGGTATTTCCAAACAGGATATTTATACATCAAAATTCCCAGATATCTATTTAAAGATAATAGGGAATACCCGATAAACATTTAACAATTTCGATTGGGTGAAAATTATACCTTCCATAATTTATGCAAGAATGTCGTTCATGATAGAGGTCATGGTGCGCGCGTCGCCATATAATTCTATAAAACTATGTATAGCCGACAACATACTACGTTAGTCTCTCTAAGGTTAATCTAATCTGTGTCTCTATGGACTCATTATTGTGTAACTTGCTATAGATACGATACATGTAGATGCAAAAAGTTATGACAAATCGCAAAATCTAGTGACCCAAAACTGGGAGCAAAGTACTGTACACACTGGCTACATTTTCGACAACATGTTGTCAACACACCCGGGCAGCAAAAAATTTGCTCCTGTATACACAATCACGACAGCAGTTCGACAACATGTTGTCAACACACCCGGGCAGCAATAATTTGCTCCTGTATGCACAATCACGGCAACAGTTCGGATAGATATGATTTATAGCCAATTTCTTATTGGATAAAACTCAACATCATTTACATCTCGGCAACAAAAATCAATTTGTATTTATTTGGGCAACACGTTTTAACATTGTTGTAAGATTATCCTGTCGATGTCTTTGATGTATTGTTTCACTATCAGATCTATTGTAAAAACTACTGAGTTCTGTTAAAGTACATGATTAAACTTATTCTGGTCAGTTGCAAAGTGGGCACTGGAGAGACAACATGGTGGCACCATT